TGAATTGTGAATTGGTAGGAGCCGCAACGAGGATCAGCGTGGTGGAAAATTTTTTAACAACCTCCTGGTTTCTTTACAATTCCTGAAGGTTCGTCAAACACGTAGGGAATGGGTTTACATCGTGTGCTACTTTCTGAAATTCCAAAGCTCCAGTGGATTTCCAGAAGATCTCGTGGAATTCCTAAGGCTGTTTTCATACTCCCCTCCCCTGTGCATGATGCGCAGAATGCGCTACCAAGGTTAATACAGGTGCTCATGTCTTCGAGAAGGGGAGGGAGGGGGCCACTCAAGTGAGTGAGTCACTCCCAGTGCTTAGGCTAACCATAAGCCTCAGGGTAGGGGAAGGCATTATGGGAGATGTGGGCGATATTTGTTCTAGCTGGCCTTTATCACCTTTCCTGGACCAAGTGTCACCTACCATCAGTCCGGTTTCGAGTGCTCCTCTAAGGCCATGAGCGCCTATATAAATATCGATTAGATTGGTTAAGTTAACCCTGGCTTCACTGTGGAAATTCCGCCTATTACGCGTTTAGCACAACTTCGCTCCTTCGCGAGCGAACGTGAACAAGTGAATCATGTGTCTCTAACCATCGCCTTCCGCGGAATCCACACATTCCACGCTGACCTTTACTATGGAAAGCCCAAAATCTTCCTCGAAAGCCCTACACCTTACACCCCTCACAATACCGACTGCGCCAATCAAAGTTCTCCTTCATTGAATGAACCTGACTCGCTCTCTCTTAAGCCTCATTATAGATCGCTATAATGCGATTCGGCGATTATGCGATGAAGCGATTTGACGATTACGCTCAACAGATTGGGTGCACGTTGATCGAACTGACCCCGCCCAATGACCGCTTGCCGACGATCTTTCAGTCGACATATATAGTCCATATCTTGAAATCTGCTTAGGCATGTTTATGGATTTGACGTGGCCTTGCCGCACTTGATAGAAGCGTGTGGATAAGCTGTTTCTAACATACTCCGCTGGATATCAGCAAAGCATGCTGGAAGCAGCTTATCCGCGCAACTTCTATCAAGTGCGGCGGCCGCCACGTCAAATCCATAAACACGCCTAATCAGATTTCAAGATATGGACTATATATGTCGACTGAAAGATCGTCGGCAAGCGGTCATTGGGCGGGGTCAGGTCGATCAACGTGCACCCAATCTGTTGAGCGTAATCGTCAAATCGCTTCATCGCATAATCGCCGAATCGCATTATAGCGATCTATGAATATAGGGTGGAGCGTGTCAAAGTTCTTAGCGCCTAGCGTCTAAATAACGCTTTTCGAAGTAGGGAAGTGACGCGACTCTATACACTTGCGTACCTAGCGCTTCTAGCCACCGTAAAGGCTCATTAAGTGGGTCTGAGCCCGAACTTTGCCTTTAAAGGTGTGGT